AGGAAGTTTTTAGAATTTCTGAGAAGTTCTGACAGCTTCTGGGGAATTCTCGGATCTTTTGGAATGTTCTAGAAATTTCTTTAGTTTTCACATTTTCTGGGAAATTCGGAAATCTTATAAGAGGCTCTAGGAATTTTTGGAAAGCTTTCAGAAATTCTGCAAAGCGCTTGGAACTGATGATAAGTTTTCGTAATTTTTGGGAAGTTCTCGCAAGTTTTCGCATCTTCTAGGGAAGTACTCAAAATTTCTGCGAAGCTCTTGTGACTTCTGGAATGTTTATGGATCTTCTGGAAAGCTCTCGGAAATTATAGGAAGTTTTCGGAATTTGTTATAAATGCTCGGATATTTTTTGGAAAGTTCTCAGATCCTATAAGAAGATCTCAGAACTTATAGAAAGCTCCCGAAAATTCTGGACAACTCTTTCTGGCACTCACTTTGGAATGTCTGAGAAACTATGAGAGCTTCTGGGGAATTCTTGGATCTTTTGGAAAGATTTAGGAATTTCCAGATGTAGTAAATTCTCAGATCTTCTGGGAAATTTGCAAATCTTCTAAGAGACTCTCGGAAATTCTGGAAATCTTTCGGAAATTCTGAAAAGCTCTCGGAACTGATGGAAAATGTTCGTGGTTTTTGGGAAGTTCTCGCATCTTCTGGGGAAGTTCTCGAAAACTCTGAGAAGTTCTCTCGATTTCTGAGAAGTTCTGAAATGTTTATGGAGCTTCTGGAAAGCTCTCGAAATTTATAGGAAGTTTTCGGAATTTGTTGTAAATGTTGGGATTTTTTTTTTTGAAGTTCTCAGATCCTCTGGGAAGCTCTCTAAAATTCTGGATTGCTCTTTCTGGGACTCACTTGGATCCTCTTAAAAGTTGTTGGAATTTCTGAGAAGTTCTGAGAGCTTCTGGGCCATTCTCGGATCTTTTCAAAAGATCTAGGAGTGTTAGATCTGGTGAGTTCTCAGATATTCCCATTGTAAATCTTCTAAGAGGATTTCAGAATTTCTGGCAAGCTTTCGTAAATTCTGGAAAACTCTCGGAACTGATGGGAAGTTTTCGTAATTTTTGAGAAGTTCTCGCATCTTCTGAGAAGTTCTTAAATCTTCTGAAATGGTTATGGAACTTCTGGAAAGCTCTTGGAATTTATAGGAGGTTTTTGGAATTTGTTGTAAATGCTCGGATGTTTTTTGGGAATTTCTCGAAAATTATGGAAAGATCTCAGAATTTCTGGGAATCACTCGGATTCTCCAGGAAGTTTATGGAATTTCTGAGAAGTTCTGAGAGCTTTTGGGTGATTCTCGGATCTTTTGGAAAGTTCTATTAATTTCTGAGTAGTTCTCGAACCTGCTAAGAAGTTCGTGGGTCTAGAGTGAAACTCTCAGAATTAATGGGACGTTCCAAGAGATTCTATATCTTGTAGCACTCGGAATTTCTGCGAAGCTCTTGAATCTTCTGGAATGCTTATGGAACTTCTAGAAAGCTCTCGAAAATTGTGGAAAGTTCTTCCTGGGACTCACTCGGATCTTCTAGGAAGTTTCGAAAATTTCTGAGAACTTCGGAGAGATTCTAGGGAATTCTTGGATCTTTTGGCAAGATGTAGGAATTTCTAGATGTAGTAAATTCTCAGAACTTCTGAGAAATTTGAAAACCTTCTAAGAGGCTCTCGGAAATTTTGGAAATCTTTCAGAAATTTTGTAAAGCTCTCGGAACTGATGGGAAGTTTTCGTGGTTTTTGAGAAGCTATCGCATCTTCTGGGGAAGTTCTTGAAAACTCTGGGAAGTTCTCCAAATTTCTGAGAAATTCATGAACCATCTGGAATGTTTATGGAATTTCTGGAAAGCTCTCTGATAGGAATTTTTCGGAATTTGTAGTAAATGCTTGGATGATTTTCGGGAAGTTCTCAGATCCTCTGAGAAATTCTCAGGACTTATGGCAAGCTCTCGAAAATTTTGGATAGCTCTTTCTGGGACTCACTCGGATCCTATAAGAAGTTTTTGGAATTTTTGAGAAGTTTTGAGAGCTTCCAGGGAACTCTCGGATCTTTTGGAACGATTTAGGAATTTCTAGATCTAGTTAGTTCTCCGACCTTTTGCAAATCTTCTAAGAGGCTCTCGGAAATTCTGGAAATTTTTCGGAAATCCTGTAACGCTCTTGAAACCGATGGGAAGTTTTCGTATTTTTTGGAAAATTCTCGTATCTTCTGGGGAAGTTTTTGAAAACTCTGGGAAGTTCTCCAAATTTCTGAGAAGTTCTTGAATCATCTGGAATGTTTATGGAACTTTTGGAAAGCTCTCGGAATTTATAGGAAGTTTTTGGGAATTTGTAGTAAATGCTGGGATTTTGTTTGGGAAGTTCAAAGATCCTCTTAGAAGTTCTCAAAATTAAGGGAAGCTCTCGAAAACTCTGGAAAGATCTTTTTGGGACTCCATCGGATCCTCTAGAAAGCTTTTGGAATTTCCGAGAGCTTCTGGGCAATTCTTGCATCTTTTGGAAGTTCTAGATCTAGTTAGTTTTCAGATATTCTTGGAAATTCGCAAATCTTCTAAAAGGCTCACGGAATTTCTGGCAAGCTTTTGGAAATTCTGGAAAACTCTCGGAGCTGATGGGAACTTTTTGTAATTTTTGAGAAGCTCTCGCATCTTCTGGGGAAGTTCTTCAAATTTCTGAGAATTTCTTGGATAATCTGGAATGTTTATGGAACTTCTGGAAAGCTCTCGGAATTTACAGGAAGTTTTCGGAATTTGTTGTCAATGCTGGGTTTTTTTTTTTTGGAAGTACTCAGATCCTCTGAACAAATCTCAGAATGGGAAGCTCTCAAAAATTCTGGAAAGCTCTTTCTGGGACTCACTCAGATCCTCTAAGAAGTTTAAGGAATTTTTTAGAAGTTATGAGAGCTTCTGGGTAAATCTTGGATCTTTTAAAAAGTTCTATAATTTCTGAGAAGATCTCGAATCTGCTAAGAAGTTCGCTGGTCTTCGGCAAAACTCTCATAATTTATGGAACATTTCGAGACGTTCTAGATCTTGAAGTACTCGGAATTTGTGAAAATTCTGGGAATTGAGTGGGTCTTCTGAGCAGTTCTCGATATTTATGGGAAAAATCCGAGACTTCTGAGCAGTTCCAAGCAGAGTTTCCATTACTACAGATTAATCTGTATTTCTGCAGATTTTTTAAAGTTGTTATATCGTAGGATCTGTAATATCAGATCACATGGTTTTAGGTTCAATTTTTTTTCCAAATTATGAGTTTAAGTTTTTAATTGTGGCTAACCATTCCACAAAAATACTTAATTTGTTGATCAAATACAAATGTTGTACTTGCTCAATTCAATGTTCGTATCACCAACTCACATTTACCTTTTGTATTTGCCTTGGTCTATTATTTTCTTATTTTTTAATTTTATAAAATATTTAATGGATTTAATTCATAAATTATTGATACCCAAATCATCACAGATTTTCTGTAAAAAGACGAAGATGAAACTATTTTTCTCCACAATAACACAGATTTCAATTTGGAAACACTGACTGACAGATTTTCTGTGTAGTTGCCGGAACTTTTTGAAAGTTGTTTATTGTTTTTTTTTTTTAATTTGTGATAAGTTCTCGGATTTTCTGGGAATTTATGTGATTTATATAGAAGTTCTCTAAAATTGTGGAAACTCTCGGTAATTCTGGGAAGCTTACGGGAAATTGTTGGAATTTCTCGGAATTTTCGGGAAATTTTAGGAATTTTTTGGAAGTTCTGTGATCTTCAGGAAAGTGCTCGGAATATTTTGAAAGTTCTCGATATTTCCGATGAATGACATCCTGCCTTTTCATGTTTCAAATTCTTATTAATAAACGCTTCCACTTCCCGGATGGTGGCTTCTGCCATTTTTCGTCCTTCAGACACATACTCTTCAACTCACTGCTCCCGACGAACACCGTGAAAAATCTTCCTTTTATTCTATTTTTTCACTGATAGTATCTTCCGGAAACCAAATCTGAAACCAGATCTTTTCACACAATACATTTTTAAGATTTAATTGTTTTATAAAATTCATAAAAACACAGATTTTTTTTAAGCAAAATCAACACGTCATTTGAATTGCGCGGCCTGCATCGATTTTTCGATCATCGTCAGAAGTGTTATTCAACCATGGGATTGGTCAGTGTGCCGAAAACAAATTCGGAACATTATGGGCACACCTGGGCACGCTAATTGGCACCCCTAGTCAGAAATTCACATGACATTCAAACAAAACTTGCAACACTGCTATATAACTATCATTGTTTACACTCCGGTTAACTTGCAGAAACAAAAATGTGTCTCAAACAACTGAATTGGATTCGTTCAGAAACATTTTCACCTTAAAGCAATCTTCGTTTTTCAATCGTTCAAACAATATAATTATATATCTACTGAAAAATAAAACTGAACTGAGCTGGAAAACCCAAGTGGGGTTGGGGAAGGAGGTATTGGAGTGGTTAGTCAAAACCTGAGTCGTGAAGCACTATTGACTATTGCTTTTATCACAAACGAAATGTATGATTGTGGAAGCCTTTCAAAATTTCCACACAATCGCTTTTCATCGTTCTCTACGCATTTCCTCGAACTCGAAGCAACAATGGGGTAGTGTCCAATAATTTCACGATCTCGTGGCCTACTTTCCCCGGCTCCCGAGTTTTTTACGTTGTTATTTTTCATGCTATTATTGTCCTCCCCAGTCCTTATCAATTCCACAAGCAAGCAGTCGAAATTGAAGCAAAGTTTTGTAGCAATTGCATTCTCTTGCTGCTTTGAAACCGTTTCAACACATTCAAACTGTCAGAAATATCGGGTTGCCCAGCATACCCAAATATTCACTATTCACTAAAAATATACAGTCTGCACAATGACGAGCACTGCCGGCTCAGCTGCGCTTCAAGTGGGGCACACTGAGAAAAAAATGCCACCTATTATATAAAAAGCATTATATTTAAACTCATTACTAAAATCTTGTATTATTTTTAAATCCATTTCAGGATTCCTGAACTGCAACACCAACACGCTGCAGTCGTTAGCTCAACTACACGGTAAGTAACTGGCTTCGATATATTTTTAAGTGTTTCCCAGGTTAAAATCCTCATAGTAAATCACGACTGGGATTACAGCGCAGTTCTTCCTTATCTGTCTATTAAAGCCGGAAAAACTTTTCTCATATGACCCGAAACACATCCAATGAAAGTTAAATAGCACTTTCAAACGACAGAGGCTTCCAGTAAGATTGAAACGATGGCTGTCCCTCCCCTTCAACGCCATTAGGAACTTCTCGGAATGCAAATGTCTCTCACACAAAGTCTGCACCAATAATCGTTTCAATAAAAGAAACTACCCAACCCGAACTTCTTATCCGCAAGATGGGCGATGATGTGATTATCTTCGTATGATTCTCCTTCGGCCTTTTTTTAACGACCCCCTCTTCAGAGTCTGGTTTTACATTTAGTACATTGTAGAACATCCCTTCAATGGAGGACGAATGGCGATAATTTAAACAGCGCGTCGTGTGTCGGGCACAGGTGAAAATTCAAATGCAGGGAATAAAATATATGGGAAACAAAGAACTTAAAACAATAAACAGGAGGAAAGGTGCGTGTGTGTGTGTGTGCGCCACTCAAACAGGTGCCATAACAATAATGATAAACATTACGAACATGTAAATGGCCCTGGACGCATGGAACGGGTTTTGCAGGTGCCGTAAATGTGCCACAATAGGACTTACACCAGCACAATTGGATCGGTGGGGAGGGCGAGTGGATGGACATTTGCACGGGTGAGGCCTCGGAGGTATAGGAACTTTGTTTGTTTTTACAAAGGGGTTCACTGGATGGACGTGTGGCGTGATATATTTGTGCACAATTCCCGCTTGGATGAAAGAGGTGTGACAGTCTGGTGTCAAGTGTTTGCATTTATGGTGTTTTCCCAGGATCTAGTGGGATGAAAGCGGGAATTGTATTGTTTGTTATTTGAATGAAATACAACATATTCATTGTCAAGAAGAATCAATTTGAATATCGATAATTTTTATAAATTGTATAATATATTTGTGACTTCCAAATCGAACCAGCTCAAAGCTTAAAGTCTCATTAATAAGGTAAACTAATAATCGCTGACTCATTTTTACAGCATTACATTTATATTATAAATGGTTTGTCAAAACACGGTCGTACAAGAGCCTTGCAGGCTTATTGGTCACGGAATTCTGCTTCATGTGCCGGTTCGGATGTTTACTGGCTTTGTACGACTTCCATCCTTCCCTGGCAAGGATTTTCAGCACCGTTTGAAAGTTGACGTTGAACTTTCTGGCCACATATCGGATTGAAAGACCGGGGTTGGCTTTAACGCACCTCAACACCGCGCAGCTGACGCTCCCTGGGGCCAGCTTTTTCGTATGTTTGCTGATTCCTTTCCACACTCAGGCCTCTCTGTAAGTTTTGAGCACTTGACAAACTGTTGTTTTCGGCATCTTCATAACTTTAGCCAGCTTGGAACCGGATCACTCCGGATTCTTCAGGTGTTTGTGCACAATATATTTTCTCCTTTCGAGTTCCATTTGACGTTATTTCTGAACGTGATCGGCTACTTTGATCAAACTTGCACCAGTTGTTCTCTATAGAAGTGTAAACAAACCACTGTCAAAGATTTTCAACTAGAGGCGTGCTAGTTTCGCCCGAAGGGCGTACCAATTTACTTTTAGTCAGCCTTTAAACGCATTACGAAACACTTTTTCTTGCTCTTACTTCTTTCCGATCAACAGTTGAACGTTCTCCGAAACGTTTTATGACACGAGAAACAGTAGATTGTTGGATTCCCAACATCTTTCCGATGGCTCGATGCAAAAGATATGGGTTTTTAAGGTGGGTGTGCAAACATTTTCTCGCGCACGTGCTTTTCCTTTGACTTTTTTTTTCAAAACTAAAACAAATTTCACAATGAAACTCACGCAATGTAAACAATGCACGCTGAGCTCATCTCACCCAAAACTTAATTAAAATTAACTCAAAAAGCAAAATGTTACAGTTTTATAAAATTGTTGAATTGGATTCACTCAGTCTATTGGTACTACTACGAGATTGATTTTTTTTTTCGTCAATTTCCTCATTTTCCTGCAGATTTTTTAGGTTTTCCACAGGAAACCATGAGACAAATTTACTCATCGCAGAGTTCCTGCACTTTTGGCGATTATGAGTGAACTAAACTCAAATTTGGGTCGTTCTCATTCACCGTGTACAAATTTGAAGTTACTACTCTCTGTTTGTAGTAGCACAGCAAACAAGGAGTAGAAATTTCAAATTTGTATGTTTTGTGGAAGCTGACATTTGTGCCTTTAAAGTTTCACGCTTAGGCTTCCATAGAGTATCACCTTAAACACTATAAATTAAGATTCAATTTAGTGAATCAGATCTGAATTTTAAAGCTATTAAATTTGATTTGGGAAACTTTTGGGGTCGAGCATTGGGAAGGAAGTTCGTTAAATGGTTTGAAAATCCTTGGAGGTGGAGTCTGGCTGAGTTCTGGCAGACGAGTCAGACGGAGAAGTGACCAGACTAGGGTCAACATCCATCATGCGATATCTTAAATCACATAAGAACTCATCTATCACCTCACATCATATGAGCACTTTTGTCGGAATTTGTATTAGTACTTAACTTACCAATCAGGCTAATACCTTGTTGTCGTCTGCTGTCCGAAGAAGTAGTCTCCACTTTACTCGATCCATGGCCACACTTCTCCAACCTTGTAGTCTTCGAAGGGTCTGCAGGTCGCCTTCTTCTTGGTCGATCCACCTTGCCCGCTGCGTGCCTCTTCTTCTTGTTCCGGGTCGCTTTCTAGAATCATTTTCACTGGGTCGTCGTGCGGCATTCTTACGACGTGCCCAGCCCACCGTAGTCGTCCAATTTTTGCAATGTGGACGATGGATGGTTCTCCCAGCAGCTGGTGCAATTCGTGGTTCATTCGCCTCCTCCATGTTCAGTCATCCATCTGCACTTCACCGTAGATGGTACGCAACACCTTCCGTTCGAAAACACCAAGGGCGCGTTGGTCCTCCACGAGCATAGTCCAGGTCGCGTGGCCGTAGAGGACCACCGGTCTAATCAGTGTCTGTAGAAAGTCAACTTCGTGTCTGTAGATAGTCAACTTCATGTGGCGCCGAATTTTATTCAACCGGAGCGTCCTCCGGAGTCCAAAGTAAGCACGATTCCCTGCCATAATGTGTCTTTGAATTTCTCTGCTGGTATCATTTTCGGCGGTCACCAGTGAGCCCAAATACACGAACTCGTCAACCACCTCGATTTCGTCACCGTCAATCTGAACTCGGGGTGGGAGAACCTCTTCCTTTCATGTATTTTGTCTTTGATGCGTTGATGGCAAATCCAATCCGCCTAGCTTCAGTCTTCAGTCTGATGTATGTTTCTGCCATCGTCTCCGTGCCATAATGTCGATATCATCGGCGAAGCCAAGAAGCTAGATGGACTTCCTGAAGATTGTGCCACTCGTGTCTATCTCAGCTCTTCTGTTCACACCTTCTAACGCAATGTTGAATAGCAAACACGAAAGTCCATCACCTTGCCGTAACCCCCTTCGAGATTCAAAGGGACTCGTGAGTGTCCCCGATACTTGAACAACGCACATCACTCGATCCATCGCCGCCTTGACCAATCGCGTCAGTTTATCCGGAAATCCGTACTCGTGCATAATCTGCCACAGCTGATCTCGATCGATTGTATCGTATGCGGATTTGAAATCGATGAACAAATGATGTGTGGGCACGTTGTATTCGCGGCATTTCTGCAGAACCTGCCGAATCGCGAAAATTTGGTCCTTGGTAGCGCGGGCACCCATGAATCCCGCCTGGTATTGCCCCACGAACTCTCTTGCAAATGGTGACAGACGGCGGCATAGAATTTGAGAGACTACCTTGTAGGCGGCGCTCAGCAGTGTGATCGCGCGGTAGTTGCAGCAATCCAACTTGTCGCCCTTTTTGTAGATTGGGAATACGACACCTTACATCCACTCTTCCGGTAATATCTTCTCCTCCCAAATCCTGGCAATTACCCAGTGCAGCACTCTAGCCAGTGCTTCACCACCGTATTTTAATAGCTCACTTGGTAGTTGATCTACACCGGTTGCTTTGTTATTCTTCAGCCGACCGATCTCCTCCTCAACTTCTTGAAGATCAGGGGCCGGTAGCCTGTCGTCTTCTGCGCGTGCATCAAGGTGTGTTGCCGTGCCACCTTCGTTTTCTGATACATCACCGTTGAGGTGCTCATCGTAGTACTGCTTCCACTTCTCAATCACCTCACACTTGTTCGTCTTTTACGTTCCTTGGCCGTGTGAAGTTCAGGATTGGTTCGATCCGGGAGTTATCGATCGATACCCCGTCTTCCGTTAACAAATATCCGAGGTACGAGACTCGCTTTCTACAAAACCTGCTTTTGTCCAGGGCAATGGTTAAATTCGCGTTCGCTAACCGCTATGCTACGATCTTCAGCAGCCGTACCTGTTCGCTGAACGTCCGGGTCGCAATAACTATATCGTTTAAATAGACGAACACGTTTGGTTCTAAGTCGAAACCGATCACACGATCCATTAGCCGACACATGGTGAACGGTGCGATAGTTAGACCGAAGGGCCTGGGGTGTTCGAAATGCCGTATAATCCCTGGATTCCTCTTTCAGAGGAATCTGAAAATACGCATCCTTTAAATCCACCACCGAATAGAATTTCGCCTTCCCCAAGCGATGAAAGATCTCCCCCATGTTGCTCATCGGGTAGGAGTCTGTTTTGGTCCAGGCGTTGATCTTGCGAGAGTCTAGGCAAACACGTAGCTTTCCGTTAGATTTCCTAACTGGAACAAGTGCGCTAGCCCACTCGCTCGAACATTCCTCGATAGCATCCATCTGCTTGTACCGCTCAATCTCAGCTTCCATTTCTGCATGTATAGCTGGAGAGCATCTATACAATGGTTGCCTTCTCGGTTTGGCTTCCTCCTTCAACACTATTTCATGCTCAATTAACGTGGTCCTGCCCAAAC